ACTTGATGCGGCCCACTCTCATTCAGACACTACCTCCTGCGCTTCCCCCCCCATGATTTGAGTTTGAGACCCTTGATCTAATGAATACTTTGGATTTTACCATTTTAATATAAAACTAATTTAAATTGCTTTACAATTTTTTTTCAAATTTGTATGGTACGAGAAAATTTGGCAGAAATTGGGGGGAGGGGGGAGGAGGGGAAATAAATGCAAAATATTATTTTTTTGAAACCGGGTCTCTAAAAAATGTGGTTCTAAAAGATCACTTAATTTGTTCTTAAAGATCGCTTAGTTTGTTGTTAAAGAACGCTTAGTTTGTTGTTAAAGATCGTTTAGTTTGTTGTAAAAGGTCGTTTAGTTTGTTGTTAAAGAAAGCTTAGTTTGTTGTTAAAGATCTTTTAGTTTGTTGTAAAAGATCGTTTAGTTTGTCGTTAAAGATCGTTTTATTTGTTCATAAAGATGGCCTGGTTTGTTGTTAAAGATCGTTTTGTTTGTTCTTAAAGATCGCATTAGTTTGTTGTTAAAGATCGTCTAGTTTTTGTTCATGATCGCTTTATTTGTTCTTAAAGATAGGTTAGTTTGTTCATATAGATCGCTTAGTTTGTTGTAAATTCGCTTAGTTTTTTCATAAAAGATCACTTTGTTCTTAAAGATCTTTCAGTTTGTTTTTAAAGAACATTTAGTCTTCTGTTAAAGATCGCTTAGTTTATTCTTATAAATCATTAAAGATCATTTGTTTTGTTCTTAAAGATCATTTGGTTCGGTCTTAAAAATCGTTTAGTTTGTTCTTTAAGATCGTTTAGCTTGTTATTAAAGATCGCTTAGATAGTTCTTAAAGATCGCTTAGTTTGTTTTAAAGATCCTTTAGTTTGTTTATAAATGTCGTTTAGTTTGTTGTTAAATATCATTTAGTTTGTTCTCAAAGATCGCTTAATTTGTTCTTAAATGTCGCTTAGTTTGTTGTAAAATATCGCTTTCGCTTAGTATTAAATGACCGAAAATCTGAGTTGGCCGAAAGTCTAAGTCAATTTCGGCCGAAACCGAAGAAAAACCGAAAGTTAACTTTTCTCTTTCGGCCGAAACTGAAATTAAGCCGAAAGTTAACTTTCCAGTTTCGGCCGAAACCGAAACTTGGCCGAAAGTGATGAAATGGCCTTTTTCGGCGCCGAAGCCGAAGCCGAAATTCGGTCGGCCTCTAACTTCTCCTGATGCAGATAATGGACTACAAAGACTTTGATCAGATTTTCCAGCTGGAGCAATGGTTCTAGTAGTTGCTGTCATGTCATTCTCGTCTCATCTGGCTCGGTGCTGTCGACCGCATTGACTTGAATGATAGTGGCAAGAAAGCTTTTCCCTTGATGAGCCCTTCATTACATTTTAAGGCTTGAATTAATGTATAGATTTTGTTGATGTTACTGGCTTTAAGTTAAAATTGTAACAAAATTTGTGGGAGAGTGGGGCATTTAGGCTCCTGGAACTATCCTGTAATCTTCTCTCACGACATCATCCTACATCGCACCATTCTCCCAGTTCAACTCATATGTGATGTGTTATCTTGTGTCACCACATCATTCTGTATCGCACCTTTCGCCTAGTGCCATGAACTTTTCCCGCGACATTCTGTAGAACACTTATAAAACATAAATGTTTTCTGTCAACCAACCGACCGTCAGCTAGATAAAGCCCGGTGGGGTGGGTGGGGGCTTTGGGTGAATGGGATGCATGGATTAAAACAATGGGTGAACACAGTAAACAACAAAATACGATTAACTCAGGCCGTGCAAGTGATGTCAAATATATTTTAATTTTTTTGGCAGACGCTTCACAAGAAAAGCGAAGTGACTAAGAGACATTTGTGGACACATTCTTTGCTTATCGAACATGAAGGTTTGAATTTTTTTTTTTAAATTTAAAAGCTCTATGAACTGGCTTCACCGTCTGCATCAGAAGCGTCAGAGGGTAAGTAACCAGACTTGGGAATCGGTGCAATGGTACCTTTGTGATGGAATCGATCAAACATATTTATTAAAAATATTAATAATAATCATTTTTTTTTTTTAAACATTTATTTAAAAATGTAATTTTAAAATGTTAATCTAAAATAGTAGCTATTCTGTGCCACGTTGGAGTAACAAAAAATATATATATACTTTTTTTAATGAAGAGAATCCGTATTCAAAGTTTAAAAAAAAAAGAATGAAAGAAAGAAAGAACTCAGAACTTTTGTGATGCAATGCTAGTTACCACGTTGTTGTTTGTACCGCGCTCTCCTTTCTTGTCGTTCCTTCATGTATCTCAACTCCTTCATTAACGCAAACCTGGCGCGCCTCCTGGCGATCTTATCTCGTCGTGTGGATACAAACTGGTGCAATAAAAGAACATTGTTTGTATTGCGGGTTCCAGTAGTATTGTGCCAGGCCAAAAATTGTGATTCACTCGGGGCCCAAAGATCATCTGCACGGCCCTGCATAGGCTATGGGGATAAACATGGCCCCCATACCCAATGACCTTAGAAGTGTACACAATCTATACATAGACACCTACTTTTAAAAAAGGGAAATTCTGACTTAAAATGTCCTTAATATACAAAATACATTTCAAGGGCGAGGAAAATGTTCGTACTCATTTTTTTAATGATGCAATATCTCAAAACCCAATACAGTTACATCCGTAAAAATTAGTACCGTAGAGTTTGAGACTTCGCAAAGCAGGTAGCACAATATGCCTTCTATTTCTACCACAGTAACACCCGGCCATATCGTCTAAGTATCTTAATAGAAATTGACGAGATTGCCATAAGTACCTAAGGCTTAGGTCCTAAGCAAAGATATTATGGTCTACATCTATTTAATGCATCTTTATACTACTTTTTTTTAAACTGCGTGAATCATGAATGAGTCTCACAGTGGTGACAACAGAAAAACCTGACCCTAGCTTGTCATATTTTATACCTGAGATAAGACGATCCTTGGACTCATTCTGGCCATCTTGGTAGGTGGCCCCATCCTCATTGGTAGAGACGAATCGGCGCAGCGTTTCCTCCATGGGCATGAACCTTGATGGGGCGCCCCTTTCATATCGGGCGCTGGAAATGCTTTTTGGCCATTTCTGGTGGCGCTGATATTGAAAGGGTGCCGTTCTGACGGAGCAGGCCCGCGGTTCATTTTACTTGCGTGTAGGCCAAATTGTAAAGAATGGTGATGAACACGGCTGCTGTGTCCAGCGGTGGTGACAGAGGGTTTGTTTTGAAGGGATTTAACAGTCCCGAATGACTGGTACGGCTTGAGGGCATTGTTATTGTGTTCCTTGGACCGGTCGATGGAAGGGACAACTTCGCTGGCGCTCTCAGACTCTTCAATGGCGGCCCCGGTGTTTCGATGCGCATTCGCGATATCTTCTTGTCCGATCGAAGGACCAGCGCTATGACCAGAGAGTGACGAGTTTGCGCCACCGTTTCCGGTCACGGGTGACAAATGGGATAATCCAGGCGCTGAACTGTTTGTATGCTCAAAGTTATTATCAGCGTGAATCCCGTCTTGACGTTCATACCCTCTGCTTTGTATGGTTGCCATTCGTGGTCCTGGTGGGCAAGAATTATCATTACATGGGTTAACACCAGAAGTCCTTTTTATAAATTGGTGAATGCCATTCGCGTTTGGGGCATTTCCTGTATCCGCCAGCGGCATTTCTTCTGGCTGAACAGTTGGATTAAAGTGAACAACCTCGTCTGGACTAGTTGAAGACCCAAGGTTCCCGTCTTTCGACCCTTCGGAATTTGAATTGCCACGAGTTGGCTTCGTGGTTAAATAGTTTCCGTTTTCATGTCGTCCAGGCGAGGTGCTGATTTTATCACATGTGCCAAAACGTTCATCTTTGGAACAATGGGCTTGGGGGACGTTGTGAGAGCGCGTGCCACCACATTGTTGTGTATTTCTTGTTTCGCTCTCATCATTTCTTTGGTGGGTCGGCGGTTCGGAATTTTGTGGGACGATGCAGTGCCAAGTGGTGCTGATTCCAGGGGTGTGTACAATGAGAGTGTGTTGGGTTTCACACTGGAAGCTGGTGGCGCTACCTGTATCTCTCTGATTGCAGACAATTTTATCGTAGGATATAAGGTTATTTTCCTTGTGGCATCGCACGTCCCTGAATTGCCGAAGCCCCCCTTCAACTATGCTGCCTTTTGTTATGTGGTTTCCCATCAAATCGTCTTGCTGCGGCTGTAATTTTCCAGCTTGCTCTTCAGCCATTGATCCCCTACGTACTTCTCCCGCTGTTGTTGGGCTCGCCAAGTCATCTGGATTTTCTTTAGTTTCCTCAGGTGCGACTATTATTTTAGGAGAAATGACCAAGGGAGTCGTTTTTTCCTCAGATTCAGTTCCACATGTGCGTGTCTGGTGTGATTCTGGACAAAACATATCTATGAGGACATTTGTATGAGACTCACGCGAGTGCTGCGACAGCGGACGATCCGTGTCTATTATTTTAGAAATATGTTCTGGTGCTAAATCTATCATAGGATCCGGTAGTGCCGAAGTTGGCATGGCGTTTGTGGCATTTTCGATTGAATGTTTGCCAGCTCCGTTGTCAGAATTTGAGCTTGGTTCTAAAGTGAAACATTTATTCGGCGACGCACGATAAACTGAAAGAGCAGACATGTCTTCATTGTGAGGGAGCCGTGTTTCACCCAAGCCTTCTGGCAAATTCGGCGTCATCTCCTGCCGAGTTGTGCAAGCAGCTGACGATTTTGAACTCTCTTCACCATCTGAATTTATTTTATTACTCTCTTCACCGCCAAAGTGTTTTTCCCGAGCGTCATCTCGCACCGCAAGGCCAGAGCTGCTCGCTGCTTTCAGATCTGCTGCTGTCGGATTTGTCGAATGTGAGCATAGACGCATGCTGTCATCGAAGCCAGGAGGTGAGACGGGCAAACTTGACTTTCTTTTCTTTATGAGTGGGCGGACACCTGGTACTTTAAAACAGGAACCCGTGCCGTTATTTGAAGTCCCTGGCTCTTTCATTACGTGTTTATCCGAGGGAAGATCAGCTTCCTTTGCTCTTTCAAAACCTTTCCACAAAGAGGACGTGAACTGTGGTCTTTTAATGACACGGCCAAGCTGACCCTTTCCACCATTGCCCGATGCTTCTCGGTGGCTATTATTCTGAGACCCACTTTCAGCTTCCCGCGCAGCTGGTGAGGCTTTGTCTTCAGCGCGCCCTTTATCGCTTGACTTACCTTCGTTGACGTTTGTGAAATATTCTGAGATGCCTGGCAAAGATCGAACGCTCGATTCCTGTGCGTTCGACGAAATGATTGAAGTATAGGAACTTGAACACAGATTTTCTGCTTTTAATTTTTGTGCGCGGTGGGCGTTTTCATCGAGTTTAGCTAGGTTTAATGTTTCAGAAGGCTCTCGGTTTAACATAGGGGCACGAGAGGCGTTTTCATCGAGTTTAGCTAGGTTTAATGTTTCAGAAGGCTCTCGGTTTAACATAGGGGCACGAGAGGCGTTTTCATCGAGTTTAGCTAGGTTTAATGTTTCAGAAGGCTCTCGGTTTAACAAAGGGGCACGAGAGGCGTTTTCATCGAGTTTAGCTAGGTTTAATGTTTCAGAAGGCTCTCGGTTTAACATAGTGGCACGAGAGGCGTTCTCATCGAGTTTAGCTAGGTTTAATGTTTCAGAAGGCTCTCGGTTTAACACAGTGGCACGAGAGACGTTCTCGTCGTGTTTGGCTTGGCTTAATGTTTCAGAAGGCTCTCGGTTTAACATAGGGGCACGAGAGGCGTTCTCATCGTGTTTGGCTTGGTTTAATGTTTCAGAAGGCTCTCGGTTTAACATAGGGGCACGAGAGGCGTTCTCATCGTGTTTGGCTTGGTTTAATGTTTCAGAAGGCTCTCGGTTTCTCTCACCCACAATGCAGCGGTCAGTGCGAAAAAACGTATCCAAGACGCTGTTTATCAAACTGTTCTCCCCTGACGTATTAACTTCACTCGATTCACCAAAAACGTCCGTTTCCATCATAAACGATAAGTCATTTTGAAAATATGCAATGTCCGGTGTTACGCTGTAATTTCCTGCCGCCCCCGGTGGGACAATTCTGTAACCCTCGGATAAAACGAAGGAACTCAAGAACGCGTTCTGTCGACTCTGGTACTGCTCGAAAAATTGCATATTTTCTAAGAAATTTTGTCGAGCGTTTTCATCAAAACCAAACTGAAATGGTGGGTTCAAATGAACAGCAGGTTGGACCTGTCTGGGGTCGAGGCCTAAGAGGGAAGCAGATCTACTTGAGCCGTCCTCCAAGTACCCACCGCGTTCTTCATCAGACAGATTTCCCGAACTGTTAAAACAATAACATTTATGACCAGCCCTGTTGGCGAAATCCATGAAGTTGAAATCCCTCTGTTTCGGAGCTCCTCGTTTGCTAGCATTCCTACTCGTGTTCTTGTTTTTGGAGAGATTTTTTCTGATGAGGCTCAAGGAGTCCACTGGACCAGGCCGGACAGTTCTCCTGGGTGGCGTTGCTTCCCCGGCGGAAGCCAGGTCCTCCAGACTCTCATCGTCCTGGCCGGCCGTCGTGTTGAAGAAATACAAACCTGGCCGTCTGAAAACGTTATCGACGGGCACCTGGTCTAGACCGGAGGGACCGTCCCCCAAGCTCTCGTCGCCCCAAGACGGATCGCCGTCGCATGCCAGAGATGGGTCGGCCGTGCTCGCGTGGGGTTGATATGGTTCAAGCAGAAGCTGTCTCACCCCCGCCACCCCCCGCGTGGTCACGGCGTTCGCGCTGTCGTCTGGTGTTTGTCTCAGCACTCTACGCGACCTGGCAGGCGATTGGCCGGAGATTGCGAGGAGCCGCGTCTGCGATGAACGGCCCATTCTCTCTTTGCTGATGATAAGTTCATCTAAAGCGCGAAGCCTGTTATCTGGAAATTGAGAAATGAGACGCCTGAAGCGACGTACAATTTCTTCGATCTGGGACACTGACCGTTGGTTTGCACGATCCTCGCTGATCCTTAAAACGTTCCCCAGCAAACGGTCGTTTCGTCTTTGCATAATTTGATACAATGCTCTTTGACCTTTAGGTGTTATAACATATCTCGTTTCTTTTCTCATTCGTTTCGACGGGCTGTTTATTTGGTGACATTTCCTACTAGATGGCATGTTTAGCCGTGCTGATCCAGAAACACTGTCGACTGGCGCATCTTCACTCAGATTATTCTCTGAACTGTTTCTCGATGAGTGAGATAACGCCAAATGGTTGTTCATTATGTGCATGCATGCGCTGCAGTGTTTCCGGCATGTTCGCCTGCTGCAGTTCTGGAGCTCTGGAGACCTAAGCGTCCTGTGTTTACGTCTACTTGCATGAGGGCTCACGTAAAATCTGACCAGTTTATCTCTACGTTTCTTCCTGGTGCGAACTCTACTTCTTCCACTTGCTTGGCGGGAACTCCTGCTCTTCTTGCGAGGCCTGTGCGCGCGATGTCTCTGCGGCCGATTCTGTTTGTTCACAATATCTTCCCACGACGACGGCTGCTGTACGGGCAAACACAGGTTACAGCATGTGCCCTCCATCATTTGCCTTCTCCTGCACGCCCGGCTGTGCTCGGCTCGCTGGTATCTGGAGTTTCCATTTCTTCCCATGCAACAGTGCTTTTTGATCGGGCCGTTCGTCTCTTGCATCGATTGACGCACACTTTTGTATCTGGTGGTGGAGTACCTCCAACGGCGGCGTCCCCTGGAGCTCTTATTTCTCCTCCTTGCCCTCCGGGTTCCCTTCTGCGGCCTCCGAGAATTGGATTTAGTAACTGCGCTCCGTCGTGAATATTTCACGGTCTTTTTTTTAACATGAGTGTTAACCGTCTCTTGTGACAGTGTCGTGTTGGGAGCGGAATTCTGCCCGAAGGAGGTACTCTCCAAGCCTGACGGATCGTAAGTGGAAGTTTTGACCTCATTGAACTGAATTGTGGGGAACGTGGTGTCACTCATGCCCGACATGCTTGACACGTCTTGATTCAAAGTCTCATCACCAGCGTCACCCTCATCATCTCTCGGCGTGTCCGTGAGCTGCCTTTTTTTGTCTCTATTGTATTTTGAGACATTCAACGGTAGCTCCATATTGACGCCCCTGGACCGGGCTTTCTGCGTGTTTAGCTGTATGGCATCCGGTTCGTCGGCACTCTCGTCTTTATCCGATTCAACAGTTTTGTAACTCCTCGTCCTGAAGAGGTTAAATTTGCTTTCGACAAGGCGTTGGAGTGACTGCAGGCTCTCCTGGGCGGTTCTAGCCACCTCTTCTAGTCGCTTGGTGAAGTTGCTCTGTGACCGCAACTGCCGCGAGTCCAATGTTTTGTTTAGCTCTGATACACTTTCGTTATTTTGCGGCAGTGTGACATTTGAACTTATTTTATGCCTGCTTGAATGGGGAGCTTCGGGCGATAATCTGTTCACGTTTTCCATGAAAGCAGATGGAGTTCTCCAGTTTTTAACAGTACTTGACAGCTGCCTGTCCACACGAACATTGGTTAAAGGATCGTAGTTTTTGACATCATTGCTGGACTGACGACTAGTTTCGGGCACATACATTTTAATGAACGATTCACGACCGGCTGTGTCCCAGTAGTTTTCCGTGGTCGGACAGTAAGGAACGCTATCTCTAGACGCAGCCGTCTGGCAGCGCACACGGGTATCAAGAAATGCCACCGTGTGATCGTTCCTTTGAGGGTCCCTGTACGGCTGATCGATTGGGGCGAATGTGTTTGTCGGGTGCTGGCAGAACGCACTTCTCTCCTCATTAAGAGTCGTCGTCGGTGGAATCGCATGTTCCACGACGGACTCGGAGATCGCTGGTACATTCTGCATCGGTCCGTTTTCTTCTGTCGCATGCGCGTTGTCGGAAGGTGCTGTTACCTGGTCTTCATTCGTAGCCGTAGCAATGTTTTCTCCTGAATTTCGAGTGCACCTGTTTCTGATTCTCGCTTTACTTGTAGAGCGTGACTCGTGGATCCCTCTACCACTGTTCTCACTGCAGTTGCAACATTCTGGCTTTTTTGTGACGTTGCTGGTATTAAGATTGGGGACACGAGAGGCGCATATAGGAGCGCTCGTATCTCGGGGAGGTCTACAACAGCTCTGACTTTCTAACAACATCTGGAGCTCACGGTCGAGGGCTTGTTCAAAGCTCTCCTCGCTGACGCTGTCTGCTGAGCTTGTCGAGCTTGCTAAAACGTTGGAACGATTTGAGGAGCTAGAATAGGTATTTGACGAAGTGTCCGTTTTACTTGACGAGGCGTTCGAGTTTTGATTTTCCGAGCAGTTTTCAGCACGTAAGACGACGTAGGACCTCGACTTTCGCAGCGATGCAGCAAAACTGAGCTGCGGATGGCTGCCTCCTTTTGAGTGTGAATTAGAATCCTGGTTAGTCGAGTTATCGCTGTCTAAGGCGTTGTTGTTATTATTCTCACTCTCATTGGTGTTCGAGAAATTTAGAGACGGAAAAAGACTATCGTCTTTAACTTCTTGTGAATTGTTTGCTATTTTTTCACCTGACCCTGACCTTCCTGTGCTGAAATGTGGAGATTTGGAGCTATCTTTTTGCTTGGACGCATATTTAGAACTGTGAAAACCTGCTGACTTCTCATCGGCCCCTCGCTTGCCCGTGCACTGTTTCACCGTTATTAAACTTTTGTGTTCTTCAATGGGGAGGAGAAATACGAAGTCTGAATGGGCTGGTTCATTCGTTTCTTGGTGGTCATTTTTGGTTGGCGTGGTGAATTGCATCAGTTCGTCACCACCTTCTGGATTCCGCGGGATGCTTACAAGGGAACTGTTGTTTTTAAACTTGACTTGGTTATATGCATCCAACTTGGGAACGGACACGAAAAGTCTTTTTTCTTTTAAGACGTTGTCTCCCTGGGCATTGATGTTACCGAGCGGGTGTTGGATACTTTTGCATGGAACCGGAGAAAGCCGAGGGGGTCTCCTTTTGTTGTGTTTTCCGATGATTCCCGACATCCACGATTCGGCGCTCCCGGAATGTTCGGCGGGAAACATTGAACTCTGACCAAAGTCCATGTCTCCGTGCTCCTTTTTGATAGTGCTTTTTGTCCTCATGGGGCTCGGGCTTTTGGTAATGCACGAAGATCGAGGAACGGGTGGGATCTGGCCAACGACGTCCCGGTTATCGCAAGTTAGCTTCATTTTGTGGCCGTTGTTGGTCGTCGACTTGGACCTCTGCGGCAAGACGGGGAGCCGCAGGTATTCCTCCATGTTTTTACCGGAAATGAAGTTGACGTGTTTCGGAGGCTGTGGGTCCTCGCCCTGTCCCGCCGAAAGCGGAGATGTTGTGAGGGTTCTGATTGGTGGGTTACACGCTCCTTCCGGTGCCACCTGGTCGTCTTTAAGATGCATATCACTCTGCGAGCTTTTATCGGGGAGAGCGTTGTTGTTTACATTGTCGTACTGTCGCCGCACGTCTTCGAATCGGGGTTCGTACGAGTACGAGCACTCGCCAGCATCTTCAGGTTCTTCTTCACGTCGCTGGTTGTTGTTGACGCCTGTCTGACTTTCCAGATATGTCATCAAATCTGCTGGACTCGAGAGATTCTGTGGAGATATGCCTTTCATTGGTGACGTTTCATCACTGTTGCACTCCATAGAGTGGACATTTCTTGAGATTGAAATCGGAGCCTTTCCATTGATATGTGAGGCCGATGACTCAAAAAGTGGTGAGCCATGGTCGCCATCAAATACCTTCTCAGCTCTATCTTTTTCAGACTTTTTGACCACCGAGTTCTCGATAGAATCGTTAAAATCCACATTGATGCAGTCTCCCCAGGCGGGGGTTAATGTTTCATTGATTGTCACGTTCCTTGCTTCCGTTCCAGCTTGAGCATCTCCGATCGCCAAGAGGGAGCCGTCTTCTTTGATCGGTGACTGCTTACGTTGATGCTCCTGCAATCCCCGGTCACAGTGCATTTGCCGCAGCGAAAGGTTGGGGCAGCTCTCAGACTTTTCCCCGTCCCGCGTGTGCCTGAAGATCTCAGAGTTAATGGCCACCGCGTGAGGTTGGACTGAAACTGAAGTCAAGTGCTGCGAGCAGCGCACGCGGCCCAGAGATTGCCAGGGCAGAGCGCCGTACAGGGGTTTCATCTTGCGGGGTATGTTCTGAAAATGGTGCCTGACTGCGTGGTAGAGCTCTTGGCTTACGTGGATTCCAGAGCTTTTCTTCTTAACGGTGTCGTCTTTTACGCGAACGAAATCAATCTTCGCAAGCGGCAGGTTCTCCGAATTCTCCGATTCCCCAAAGTTCCTCTGGGCGAGCTGAGACTCCCGGAAGATGGTGGCCGAAATCGAATTATACAATTTGTACTGCTTGCTGGTCTTGTCACACAGTCGAGGTAGCGATGACGTCACATTAACTGGTAACTCTCCGCCGTCTTCGACTGTATTAAGATTTTCATCCTCTGGCGCATGGTTTCGGCTTAAATTCTCTTCGCTTGCATCGACCGAGTAATAGTTGGTAAGGGGATCTTTTTGTTTCGACTTTAACTTATGGTTGGCTGGCCGCAATTTCGATGCGGTAGCTTTAACCTCTTCGGCCATTTTCACCTGGTCGTTAATTTCCATAACCGTTGCGTCCCCTTCCGCTGATTTTCTCGTGTCAATATCGGAATGAACAGAACCGCCGTTGTTCATGAGCTGCTCTTCGTACATTTTAGAGCACTGTTTAAGGCGTTCTCTGTAGGCTGCGAGTGATTCCGGTGTATGCTTGCTGTCGGGGCTGCCCAGCTTTTTGTTGCTCCCCAATTTTCCGTCGATTTCTACGTCTGAACTGAGCCGGGCCATGCACAGTTTAGTGGCCGACGAGGAGCACGGCCTGGTTGGCGACACCCCCGGCTGCCCAGGAAACTGTGAACCCCTGCTGCTGGACCTCCGTTTCTGGGGCTTCTTGGACGAGACCGATGCGGACCTCTCTGGCCCCTGCACTTTGACGTCAACCTTGACGCGATCTTTACGTAATATTTTCTTCATGTCACCGTCTTTCTTTGTCGACTGCGTGAGGTTCATGTGATTTAACACGCAATCTCGAACTTCAGCTGGTCGGACTTGGCATTTCTTGCGATGCATTTCACATGTGTGTGATGTGTACTTTACGACGTGTACGGGCCAGCGGCGATCTTTTTCCACCGGAACGTGAGGCAAAAATGTCCCACTGATGAGCGTCTTAGATGATAATCGCTTGCGTCGAACTCTTTTGCTCTGAGGCTTCGGATCGTCGTCGACGAAAACAACGAAGCCATAGCCGTGGGACTCGGCGAATTCACAGGCGAAGTCGTAAATGGGGTCATAAAGAGTAGCTTGATCCTTGCGCTGTTTCGAATCGCCCGCTTCGCCGACCATTTTTTTCTGCGTGTCTTCCATATCGTATGTCACTACAAGGGATGCGATGTTGCTGGAAAGTTTACTGTTGATGGAGTTGAGCCGAACGCAGTCGTCTCCTTGCATCAGGTACCATGGTGTAAAAGTGCTCAGTGACGCATTGGCTAAAAAAGGAGGATTTGATTCCGCGGTGTTGGCGCCCTTCAGACAACGGACACACGAGTCTGCCGCGCTATCGCCACTTGAATAGTATAAATCTGTATCTGCCTTGCAAAGGTCAATATTTTTCTTAATGCCAGCTCCCAGGTTTGCTCCAATACCGAAATTTTGTGAAAGGCGCCTGGGTGCCGTCGATATCACAATGGCCGAGCACGTTTTCTTAACACTTGTAAAATCCGACTGCCAGTCTCCCCTCAGTTTGGGTTGGACTTTTTCACCAACTGGCTTCTTTTCTCTGGAATCTATACCAGCGTGCCAGGATAACGATGCGATAATGTGTTTCCCTCTTTCGTTTCTTTTCTCAGGCGACAAAGACCGGTAAGAGCTGTTACGAGGCTTTGACCGTGGCACGCTTTCCTCCCACTTCCTGTGAGATGAAGAAGCGATTCGAGAGTTGTGTTTGTACTTTCTGTGCTTCAAGTTCCTGGCCAGGCGGGTAATTTGTCGTGTCCAGCGGTTCAAGAATCTTCGTCTAGTGTGTGGCCGATGTCTGCGAACAGTCACGATGATGGCCCCCTGGGTGTTGGGAATGGCGGGAAGAACGATAAATTCAAAAGCAAGAGACTCGGCTACTTTAGTGCTGCTGTTTTCAAGCTCCTCTGCAACGCGTTGGCTGGTCACTGGACAAACGGACTCTGCATTCTCCGATGAATCTGAAACACATTTTTTTAAATATATATATTTTTTAAAGACGAATGACACGTTACCTTAACTGAAACCATTTCCCACCTTCAAAACAAACGAACTGTTGATTGATGTCAGTAGATAGATCAACTGAATGGACAAATGTCTGATTAACTTTATGATACAATTAACTTCTTGTGCACATTAAATATGTCCAGTAATCTGTCCATTGTTCCCTAAACGTTTTTTTTTTTTTTTGTAGTGAATCAGCGATACTCTAGCATGCTCTTAAATATGGTATAAATATGGAACATCCCATGGAGTCCTTTAAAACCGATTTAAAAACACATCTATTTCGCAAACACTTTCTGTGGTGATGCTATCTATCATCTTTGCCAGTTAATGTATATTGGATTGTGTTGCTTATGGTTAAAATGGGATGAAATACTTTGACTTGGTATGCTCGTGTGTAGTTTTATATTGTTGTGTCTGTTTTTAAATGTGGTAAATTTTAGATTTGTTTTTTAGATATTTGTTTAAAAATGGTTGACTTTATACCGCGCTTCGAGCTTTTGGGGATAAAGCGTGTTTTTCAAATAAACTTTATTATTATTATTGAGTAGTGACAATAATCTAAAAATAAGGAAATGAGTACCAAAAAAATCATCCTTGAAACTTAGAGGGAGGAAACAGTGTCGGATTATGATTAGATCAATTTTAAAAATGTGGATCCTTTGTTGCGGAGCCCCTTTTCACGCGCCTGATTTACGCTTAGATTAATCTGGACATCGGAGGGTTGGGGGGGGGGGGGCTATGCACGTGCCTGTTTTACCTTTAGTTTAATGTGGACAGGGGGGGTATAGTTAAAAAGCATTTTGCGTTAAGAACATTTTTTTTTTTAATTTGTACATTCTCACCAACTAATTCTTACAGATACATTTTAGACGTGATGCTATAGTTTAGAACACTTAAATTTAAACATATTTATTGTAATCCCTATAGTGTGTTGTTTTTTTAATCGTCCCGGGGATAGGGTGTGGTGGTGGGGGGCTTGTTCATTACTTAACTCTAATGTAATGTGGACCCAACACGTCAAGTACAGCCTACCTGTGTCTGTTGGACTCAACACACATCAGGTACAGCCTACCTGTGTCTGTCTCCCTGCACACAACTGACATGACATCACAAGCTCACGGCATTCGGTTTGACGGCCTCAAGGTTTAGCCCGGGTCGCCGCATTGTCTGTCAAAGAAACACGAAACAAACAAAACTGTGCACTGTTCTAAAGCTGATAATCTTCGCGTAAAGACGTTTGGTATGGGGAAGACAGAAGGGATAACAGAAAGGGGGAACACAATCATTTGGTTTAGATAGATCATTTACCTCGTGGTTCCGTTTGTAGCTCTGAATCTACATCGCTTGAAGCTGAGCGAGTCGTGCGGCTCACGGCATGTGTGCAAAGTTGCGCACGCATTTCGTTAACCATTCTGGTACAATAAGTTTCTTATAACGTGTAGCTTATGATTAAAGTTAATGGCTTCCCTGTGTAGCTTCTCTAGGGAATCAAAAAAGTCTTTAATGATTAAAAAGTCAGAATGGGCAGCTTTGATTCTTAGATGCAGTTGTAGAGAGGAAACCTTTATAGCACGAGAAAAAGGTCCTCGAGGCGCGTACAAAGTGGTAAAATCAGGAGTTCATTCGAAAATGAAAGACCTTGTGATGTTATTGTTTAAACGTTTACCGTTATGCAGCATGGACCTTAGAACCTAAAGCGGTCGTGTGCTCGAGTGAGTCGGTTCGGACGAATTAGTTGTTAAATTTTTGGCTTTATTACTAAACCTTTTTTTTTCTTTTAAACATTTTATAATAAAAGCAATATACACAAATAAAAATTAAATACAATGACATTTTTTTTCTTTTCTTTCCATTACTGCGAAGTACCGTGCCGATTGTTGCTTGCTTGGCAGCATATTACTCGACTAGAATATTAATAAATACCTGCGACGTCAATGTAATTGGGAGAGTCCAATATAACGATTTGATACTACTCAAATAAAAAACTTGAAATACACTGGTTTAAGTAAATTGGAGAGTTTTTTTTTTTAATGATCGAATTTCTATATTCGCCCTCAGAGTCATTTCCTGATAGTTCGTCTGTCGCAAGTCGATCATGACCAATTTAAACATCGGCTTGTTGCTGTGGCTGAAACTGCCTGTGGGTGCGCAGATGGCACATCAGGCCAATTCTGTCACGAAATGTTCTGGTGCAGAAGGTGCAGGGGAATGAATGGGACAACTGCAAGTGCAGATTTAACTCGGGCTGTTCTGCAGCAGCTGTTCTGTCAGTCTTATGTTGCATTGATAATTTTTCTACGGAGAAGCGCCACGAGTCTCGATTCCTTGAGGAATGTTAATTTCCTAGAAGAGGGGTCAGCAACCTTTTGGTATTAGCTTTCACTCATTCAGCATGCCAAAAACGTGTAAGTCTACCATTTAAGGCGCATCTTTTAGTCACTCCTTTTTTTTTTGGGTCTACGGCGTGCCAATGAAAATCGATATGCGTGCCAAATCTGACACGCGTGCCGTAGGCTGCCGACCCCTGTTCTAGGATAAGACATTAGGTCCTACAGGCCTCACTTTGGGGTAGCAATATTACGCCAAATGCCAGAACTTTACTTTTACAAATGTATGGTAAAATGCCTGCAACAATAACATGAAATTATGTATGTGAAATGTGTATATATATATACATGTATATTACAATTTATAACCATCCTGCTTTTCTTTCATTTTTTTCCCCTTATAATTTATTTCTGTTGTTTGGTTAATCGACTTGTTTTGTTTCCCATACTTACGGTATCATATATTTTTAACTGTGAAAAATAGGGATTTTGAAAAGTAGCCTAATAACTGTTTCTAAATGGTGCCGAAATATACAATGAATGCATATTGTTGAAAATGTGCAGCATTAAGTTGATGAAGTATAAGTAAAAGTAAAGAAATTGTCCAATTTTACCAGGAAAAAGATGTTCATTGCGTTAAACTCATTTAAGTTTTCCATGTCGTCCACAAATTTTCAGCAAGTCAGCAAGGCTGACAACAAACCCAGCACGTAGCGACTATGAAAGAGAGTACTCCACAATTTTTGATAACGTCATTGCAAACCTCACATTCCATCTTATGGACTTTGTGGAGTGAAGCTATCACTCTTTCAGATGCCAAAATTTAAATATTTCCTTCAATTTCCTTTCAATACTGGTATCTAGTTTCAAGATATGAGACTAGCAAAGAGGGTATCCGTAAGTAGAAATTAACCAATTTACCGATTTTGGTGATGGTAGAGATATTTGTATGCCTCAAAACCTTGCAATAAAAATCTGATTTCTGTTTCGCAATTTTGAATTTTGAATATTATTTGAAACATAACTTAATAGGACTTAAGCAGTGGTTCTCAAAGTGGGGGCTAAAACAGAGTTTGCTTTACAACTTGATGAGTGAGTTAAGTTTCCAAGATAATGAATCTTCGCTTCTTGCTTATATAAACAAGATTAGATCATGTTCTGTATTTGCAAGGGTTACCGAAAATTTGTTTGAAAGAAATTTCGTCGACGGAAAATTGTTTGATCGAACGGAAGTTTGGGAGATTTTTTTTTTTTTTTCAGTTCACACGATCAAATTTTGCGTCAAATTTCTTTTTGAACGCACTACTTTGTTTTACTATATATATATATATATATATATATATAGTATAGTAAGAAATGCGCATGCGTAAGAAATAATAAAAAGACTTTTGTCCATTTATAGGAGGACATTTTTAAAAAATTTTTTAGTCATAGTCTGCAAAGTGGTATAGGTGGTTTTAGAGGCTCCTCGTTGTATTCTCAACATTGTGTATGGCCGAGTGGTCAAAACTGAGTCAACCCCTTCGATGGCATCTAATCTAAGAGTAGGCAAATTCTGAAATCAAACTCCCGGAGATGGAGTACCGTAGGCCTTATGACATCGACACAATGAAAATTCCAACAATACAATTCCTGTGACATGGAGCGCATAAAGAGTACCATGAAACACACAAGACACCTACCGCATCCTGGTCTATTTTCAGTCGTCGTGACTAAGTCTTGCCACTGTATCAAATAGGCAAAGACGAGAGAGTGAGGCTGACGAATTGAGCAACTCTCTCGCTCTCTCTCTCATTTTAAACAAAATGCATCTCAAGTCAGGCACACTGCTCAACTTTAAAAAAAAAAATTGCCTTGGTCATCTTTGCGGGCGAAGGATGAAAAAATAATTTTAAAAAATTAATTTGGTGGAAGTGCGGTCATCCAACGTGGGTCAAAGTAAAGAACTGGCGCAGAGATACAATCAAAGCGAACTACCTCTGCTGAACAAAAAAAGTTCCATCCCTTGACCATTCATTGCACTGAGAACAAGTGAAGACGTTAGATAACTTAAAACTTATGCTGAAAAAGTTTTTATTTTTTTATTTAAGCTAAGGCATCACTTTATCAGTTTAATATTGAATATTAATATTGAATTAAAGTAGACACGTTTTATTTGTGTGTTTTTTTTTATGAATTGCTCAGTTATACTTTATAATAATTTTACTTTGAGTTGTGAAACTGCCGAACATAGAGGGTCGTGCAAACCTTTATTCTGATTCTGAGAATGTTTGTTACGGGGTAAAACAAGAGGGGGGGGGGAAATACATTTCAAGCCATGGGAAATGCCTGGATCTGGAGATCCACTTTGGCCAAATTTGTGTTTTTCTCATATGAGCTAAATAAATTTAAAAAATAATCATTTTGCCAGGGGGGGGGGGGGGGTCATGGCAAGTTTTTCGGACTACAAATTAAATGGGGGAAAGGGGTCTGAAAGAATAAGTGAGAACCACTGGTCTAAAGAAATTTTTTGGGTGTTGAAGGTGACCTGAAAAAAAAATTCAATTAAATTTTGATATTCTATCATCGAATTTTTAAAAAAATTTAATGTAATAACGATATTCGTCTTGAAGATTATTTTCAATTCCCATATTTCTTTTGCAGGCGAGAGGTGAGAATATATAAAGAGGCCGAAGGTCTAGATTCTGGGTAAGTAGGCCTACATATTAAATGTTTTTTATACATTTATTTTAAAATGGCTGTATATGTAGGAAACGTTTGTCGTAGTATCCGATATTTTTAATATGAGGTTTTAGTTGCTAAAAATGCAGTCTTTGAGGGAACTGCTCCTAGGCAATCTCTTCTGCCCCAGCTGTGGCGTGAGTCAGTCACGATGCAGAGAACCACATAAACCCTATTAGAGGGCGTCTGTAAAATTTCTACGCTCCCCCCCCCCCCGGGGTGGAAAAAAAAAGGGGGGAGGAGCAAAGGGCCGTAAAACGTATCCACCCCAGCCCTAGAAATTCCGGCCCGGTTGCTGTGTGAAAGCAGCACCCTGGCCGGCCAGGCGTTCCTTCTCTGGTGCCGCCTCTCTCGCATAGTCAATCGAGTGGAAGGGTGGGTGACCGCTTGGTGAGTGGTTGATGGCCAGTTGAGTTCAGCGGAGGGTGCGTTCGGGAAGACTTCAGGAGCTTCGGCTCGATAGTTTAATTTTTTTCTAACGTATACTAGATTTGTTGCCCAAAAATCTGGATATTTATTTATTTATTTAGGCATTTTTATATAGCGCTTACCTTAAAGCTCTAAGCGCTTTACAATTATTAAAAACATGTAGACTGAAGATTTAAACAAACAAAGACATTTGCTTTAAGATTTACATTTCACTCAAGTTATATTGTGTTCTCGTCATTTTTTCAAGCAAATAAATTTAATAACACATTTGTTTGTTGTTGTTTTTTTTTTTTTTTTTTTTAATTTTTTTTTTTAAATTTTGTTTTTTTATACTTATTCTTAAATTCAGTTTACATATTATTTTTAAATTTTGGGTCGGTGTAATTATAGAAAATAGGTTTTACTTATATAAATAAAACACTATTTTTTACCAAATATTGTAAGCAGTGATATGATATGAAAAATGGGTTACTGGCGTGGAGATAAACAGTCATGAGGCTAAATTAAAAGATCTGCACGAACGGTGCCGAACTTAACTATAACAAGGATTTAAAAAAAAATTTTTTTGCAGGTGGCGAAACTTCATCACCAGAGAATCAAGATGCACTCTGACCCGCGTGGCTCCAAGTCCGAAAAAGGATGCACCTTGGAAGGAGCGGAACCATCGTATCGGTAAAATGAAACCCTAGTTTGGGGTGAGGGTCCGGGGGGGGGGAGGATCTCTCGTATCCTATTTTAAGTAAATCATTTATTCAAGGAAGCAGCCATCGAACAAAAAATCTGACAACTGGCGGACATCAGTCACTAATCAACAGAGTTGACAGCTGGTGGACATTAGTCACATTAACAATAGATTTGACAGCTGGTGGACAATAGTCACATTACCAACAGAGTTGACAGCTGGTGGACATTAGTCATATTACTAACAGAGTTGACAGCTGGTGGACATTAGTCACATTATCAACAGAGTTGACAGCTGGTGGACATTAGTCACATTACTAACAGAGTTGACAGCTGGTGGACATTAGTCAGTTAAGAACAACGTTGGCATCTGGTGGACATTAGTCACATTATCCACAGAGTTGACAGCTGGTGGACATTAGTCACATTACTAACAGCGTTGACGGGTGGTGGACATTAGTAACTAAAGAAAAGTGTCGACGGGTGGTGGACATTAGTTACTAAAGAACAGCGTTGACAGGTGGTGGACATTAGTCACATGAGCAACAGAGTTGACAGCTGGTGGAAATTAGTCGGTAAAGAACAGCGTTGACGGGTGGTGTACATTAGTCACTAAAGAACAGCGTTGGCAGCTGGTGGACATTAGTCACATTATCAACAGAGTTGACAGCTGGTGGACATTAGTCATATTACTAACAGAGTTGACAGCTGGTGGACATTAGTCACATTATCAACAGAGTTGACGGCTGGTGGACATTAGTCACATGAGCAACAGAGTTGACAGCTGGTGGACATTAGTCACATTAGCAACAGCGTTGACAGGTGGTGGACATTAGTCACTAAAGAACAGCGTTGACGGGTGGTGGACATTAGTCGTATTAACAGAATTAACAGGGCCCACGATCAATTTGGCGCCTGGTTTGAATTCAGAATGTGTCTTCTCTTGGATGAATTGCCTTCCAACTCCCATCCAACCAGGGTGCTAGGAATAGATTTTTTATATTTTGTTGTTGTTGTTGTTGCTTGTCTTGGCTTTGTTAGGGATTGAGCTCCAGACCACCAGCTATTTGGTCTGAGTCAGCCTAAACCGCTCGGTCACCCGGCACCCACTAAACAACAGAGATGACGGGGTGTTCCTTTCTTTCGCATATTATTAACACACGTTCATCCGTTTATCCTTTTCTTCCCCCACAGCTACAGCATTGCTGGAACATTCGGTAAAGTCATCCACCCAACTGTTTCCACCCGGTCATGGGACATCAGCTCCCATGTGAGCAGGTTACCTATACATGGCTTGAAGAAAGAACCAGCACTTCAGCTGGCGTATCCGGTGTCAGGATTCTTTGTGAGCCCATTTTATTTTTTTATTTGGGATTAGCGTTTTTTCAGTTGTGGGGGGGGGGGGG